GTAAAGAATTCAAACTAGGGCTTCCCTGGTGGCGCAGTGGTTGAGAGTCCGCCTGCCGATGCAGGGGACATGGGTTCGTGCCCCAGTCCGGGAGGATCCCACATGCCACAGAGCGGCTGGGCCCATGAGCCATGGCCGCTGAGCCTGCGCGTCCGGAGCCTGTGCTCCGCAACGGGAGAGGCCACAACAGTGAGAGGCCTGCGTACCACAAAAAAAAAAGAATTCAAACTAAATGACCAGAAATTTGGGGAAAAGGATGGAAAATGAGCAGACTGCAGCCCCTGACCAGAAAATAAAGTCTCTATCCATCTCCCCACTCACATTTACCATTCGAGTCTTGGGCAATTCCTGCCTTCTTCACACTCAGAGGGAGAATCAAGGACAGAGAGACCACCCATTAGGGTCCCCCAGAGCAGGGATGAGGGGGTAGGGGGGAGGTTGGATGCCTGGGTTCTGTGAATGTCTCTGGCTCTTCATGCCATCTTGTTGGGGCACAGATGTGTTTGGTAGGATCAATTCCCACTTTCTCTTGAAATCTGTTTAAACACCTCTCCCTCTGGGGAGTCTTCAGATGCTCCACGAAGGGAAGTAATCCTTCCCCTACACTGCCCTGGCGTTGTGCACATGCTGTGCTTTGCACTCCTTACATCTCCAAGTGCTTGCCTCCTCCAGACTGGAACCTCTTGTAGAGTAGTCAGGGATTGTAGCTTGATCGCAATTCAAGTCCCAGCACCCACACATGGTAGACATTCAGTTCATGTTCCTTGAACAAAAGTATGAATGTCACTATATATTTGGGAGTGAGATGGGAAGAAGATATAAGGAAAAATAGTTGAGGAATCACAGGTCCTTGAAGAGACGGGGGTGATTCTGCTAGATAAGCATGGCATATTGAGCCGAGAAGTTAATTCTTCCTCTCTCCTGGCACCTCACTAAAACAAAAGTAAGGTGTAAATTCACATGGACACAGGAAGAGAGAGGAGATGGCAGCAATGCAATTTTGGAAAGGGGCAGATACCTGCTGATTGATGTAGCAGACCTGAGGAAACTTGAACCTGAACTCAAGGGAAGCCCAGAAACAGTCATTTTCCCCTTTCAGAAACCAGAGGTGCCAGGTTCTGAAGGTGAGGCCTGGAAACAGGAGGACTACCTGAAAGGCTGTATAAAAACCAGAACTGGTACACTGATTATGCAGGAAACAAATGAGCTGTTGTTACTCCAGGCCCTGTGACCCTTCCCCAGCCTGGCTGAAGACCTCAGATTTACTCTGGAAAGGCTGGACCAGCAGTCTCTGGACTGGTGTGCCTGGAGCAAGGATGAGAGCTGGGCCGTGCAGAAGATGAGATTGAGATTAAGTGAGATCCCTGGGCAGGCAATTGAAGGATTCCTTCTGAGGAAACCAAGCAGCATGAGAGAAACAGGAAAGTGGGTTGTTAAGACACCTAAAGTCCTCATCATTCACATTCAGCAGCAGCTAATATCTAAAACTGATGAGTTTACAAAAGCATGTAACTTAGATATATGGAAGTAAATTTCAAAAGAAACAAATGAGGATGGGAAGTCCTTGCCTCTTGGAAGTAGACAGGGAAATACAGGGTGAGGGTGACATGGGAATGCTTTTTGTTTCTAATATACTTTATATATATTTGACCTTTTAAAATAGGTACTTAAAAAACGACAGTGACAAAACCACGCGAAAAAAAGGATTTTACAAGTCCTCTTGGAGGGACGGTAAAGGAAGGAAATTGCTGAAGTGACAAACATCCTAAACATCAGTGATAAAGGGCAAAGAGATTGGGAAAAGAACAAAGCCATGTACCTAAGAAATGACAGCAGACCAGTGTGAGGCTAAAGCTATAACTGGTAAGAGGTGGTAGCCACTCACATTAGCTGGGAGAAGGGATATTTGGTATATTTTGTGGGTTGCCCAGCAATCTTGCTGTCTGTGCTTAGGCAAAATTATGAAATGGCCTACCATTATTATGGTCTCAGAGTGACCTTGATATTGATGTTCTGTGAGACTGTTCATGTGCAACAGGATAACAGGCCCAGCTGTGAGCACCAGGCCAGCTTTCAATACCATTGAGGCCTACCTGTAAGTGTCAGGCCAGTTCCTGGATGTCAGGGGCTGCTTTTTTGTGTTCTCAAGTACGTGCTACCGCGTTAAGAGGGAAAAACTAAGGCCGGCTTGCTGAACAGCCCAGACACTCGTGCATTTTGGAAGTGTAGTCTTGAAAGCAAGTGTTTTCCTGCCAAGCGAAACACATATCGCTTTTCTCTGTTCTGCTCTGCAAAGACAAGAGGGAAAAAAAAAAACCCTTAAATATATGTAAACCTTTTTGTTTATTTGTTTTTAATTGTAAAAATAATACACATAAAGGAGCCCAAAATATAAGTGTATAATGTAACAACTTATTATAAATAAAACACTTGCGTAACCATCATCCAAGGACCAGGCTGTAGGTTTCCACTGAAAAAGAAATTCCTACACAGCTGCCCATAGGCAGTGATGATCCATTTTGTGAACACATCTGTAATTACTGCAATGGAGAGGGCACCCTGGGTTGATACAGCCAGTTTGGACAAATGTCAATCATTTCCCCAGGTTTCATGTATTCTTTAGTAACATTTCCTTTGAGTACGACCAGCATCAGTAAGCATATCTCAGATGAGACTACAGTGCATGTACTGCTAAGTAGTTAAAAAGGACTCTGTTGATCAAAAATGACTCTGTACGAATGCAGCAACGTGACAAACGTCACCACTGTCTGCACAGACCAGAAGCCATGTCATGATGGCACAGGTCACACCAAAGCCAACCTAGATGACTCAAACGTGGTCTTCCATGTCAGTCTCAAAGGGCGAGGAGGAGGATGAAGGAGCATAAGAAGACAGTGCTCAACGTCCTAATGACTACGTAATTTTTTTTTACTTGTCCTCACAAATTATCCCAAATTATTATTGGACATTTTGCTTCTTCTTCAGGATCTTAAGGTATATTTACTGTCTTATGTCATAGGATAGGAGGCTCCAGTGGAACGCTCACATGGTGATTCCTCCTGCTGAAGCAGGGACACGTCAGGCCAGGCAGACGCTGAACCCAGAGTCCTGCAAGGGAGAGCAGGGTTCTCCCCAAAAGTGAGCCTGGTGGCCTCAGTGGCCCAGCACCTGCTTATTTTTATTTTTATATCGATCCATATATATAATTGTGAGTTCATACCACTGCATCTAGTTTCAACGTGCCATCACAAGGTTCATTCTAGTTCTCTCCTTTTCCATAACTGAGGTTCCCCGCTGACAGGGAGAAGCTTGGCTGCTCTCAATGCACTTATTGGGTTGGCCAAAGAGTTCGTTCGTAATAGCTTCCAGAGAACCCCGAATGAAATTTTTGGCCAACCCAATAATATATTTACTTACTTGATCAGAACCCCACCTCCACCCCCGCCTGCCACTGCATGTAACAAACTCCTATCACCCTGTTGCGCCCTTCCCCATACAGATGCTCTCCTCACCCTACTTGGGTTCTGAGACTCACTACCTCCTATATCCAACCGACATGAATGTCTCCAACACCCCAGTTTGGGCTCCAACACCCAATGCTGGGCAGTACCCATACCCACATGCCCTTTTCACCCTGTTCAGGCTCTGAAATCCCGTACCGGCCATTCCTCCTGTGTGGACGCCCTCCTTATCCTGCTCAGGTTGACACTCCCATGCTGGGCCATTCCACCACTTGGAATGCTCCCTGTCACCCTACACCAAGCCACCAGCTGCATGAACACCCTCCTCATCCTGCTCAGGCTCAAAGACCCTGCTCTGAGCCCATCTTTTGGCTTTAGGACTGAATTGCTCAGAAAGGGAAGGGAAGAGGAAGAGCAAAATGTGTTAGCGTCTGACTAATTGTGGGCTCGCTATACTATGGCACGCTGCCTTTCCAAGCATAAAGCTATCCCCTCAGCCCAAGATTCTCAAAGGTATCTGCCACGAGACCCCTCACAGCACAGAAGAGTGGAAAGAATTCCTTCATATTTTAAAAAAAATTACTATGATTTACATTTTTCTCTAGGAAAAAATTCATTTGATTCTATACAAAATTGTTTGACAGATAAATTACAGATCTTCGGTCCAAATCTTGAAATACACAGCTGATGCTGCAAGAAGATGCACCATATCCTTTTTACAATAGGCCTGTGGCTGCACGCGATCACACACACCCAGTCGCGAGGCCACTGGCACCCGTGACGTTCTACACGCAGATACTCAGATTCACACAGCTATGCTGCACTCGCCAACCGCCCCGGTCACACAGCGACCCGCACACCCACCCCATCACACACACATCACCCCAGTCACAGTCCGGCACAGCCAGTCTCCCACCGCGCCTCTCGCCTCACTGCTCGGTTACGAATCACACTCCAGGCTGCTTTCTGTGGCCTCCCTCCTGTCAGGTGCCGCTGCAGGCACACACCGTCTCGCACCCAAAGAATTACACACACGCAGAAACACAACTCACCCTCGGCCAGAGGCGGGGAAGCCCCGCAACCCTCACGGCGTCGCGCGCGTGCAGACAGGTGCGCACACACAGACACACGCTCATGAGGCCGGGTACAAAGGGCCACACGCCTGTGAAACACGCGAGGGGACTACCCGGAGGGAAGAATCTGACAGAATCCGCCTCGCACGTGCTCGGCTTCAGGACGGCACCCACGGACGCACTGGGCGGTCAAGACTCTGGAGGTCCGTCGAGGCTCGCACAGCCTGGACAGGTCCCCGCTGTGAGTTCTCTCAGCTTACCTCGCGAGGGCGCGGGTCCCCGGCTCCGGGACTAGAGTCGCTCTGTCCCGAGCGTGCCTGCGCCTGCGCACTCAGAGCCCAGCCCACCGGCTTCCGGCTGTGGACTACATTTCCCAGAAGCCCCAGGGGGGTGGTATAAACTTCCACCTGGAGGGCCTCTAGCCGTGCGTACTGAGTGTTTCAGCTACCGCGGGTGAGTTAGTCGAAACCTGGGGAGAAGTTGGTGCTAGGTGAGGCGGAGCAGGACTCGTCTGGGGTAGGGAAAGGGATGGAGCTGTAGCCCAGAGTGAGGAGCCCAGGGCGCATCGTGCCCGCAGCCTCAGGCCTGTATTGGAATGAGGAGAAGAGAGGGGGGATTGTGTGACTAATTGTGTGTGTGTCTGTGTGTCTGTGTGTGTGTGTGTGTGTGTGTGTGTGTGTGTGGTGTGTGCGCGCGCGCGCTCCCGCGCGCTTTCCAGAACCAAGTTGGGCCTCCTGTCGGTGGGCGCGGTTGTCATTCTGATGCTGGTGCTTGGCTCAGCGGTGTGTGTGACTGACCCACGCCCCTGCTGCTTTCCCCTTCCTTCCCTCACAGCCCGGGTGTCTGTACAGACTTTCCCAAGAGGAAGTCAAATATTGAACCCTAGAATGAAGATTCTCAGAAAGCAAGAAGACACAGTCCTGGGCTTGGTATGGGGCTTTTAGAGCTAAAAGTGTCTCCAAGACAAACTCCTGGCTCGAAATGGTGGGAGGGGTTCCTACTTGGAGGCGCTGTGGGTGCTGCTACATTTTTCAGAACCACAGCTTTCCCATATCTCTGATTCTAGGAATCGGCTGTGATTTCAGAGACAGGTTCCAGCCTCCCTGTCTCATCTGGTCATATGTGTGAGGTCGGAGCTGATGTGGCCCTGGAGGGAACTTCTCCGTCTCTCTGTGCTCTAAGAAAGGCCTGAAGAAGGTCTCATGATTTCCTTCTTCCCCAGTCCTGCCTTTCTCCCCCAAGAAGTATCCTGAGCAGGAGGGGAAAATTGTTGTTGCACATCTAAAAGTACAGATCAGGTGAGTTTCTACTTCCTCTTTGTTCATAAATGAATCTTTGTTTTTAGTACATGGAAGCATTTGCTTTTCTTTTCATGAAATGTCCAGTGGCCTATTCTAGGCCTTCCTTCCCAATGAATGAGGGGCCGTGCAGGTGGCCCTCTCTCACTCACTTTTTATAATAGTAAGAAATATATATCCTGGAGTCTAAAGTTAAAACTTTGTTTTATTGAGATTAATATTTAAGTGGAATCACATCATTGATCTTCTGCAGAACCTAAGTTTAAAAGTAAGGCAAGATCAGAGGCGTCTGTTTTTTAAGGTGTTTAGGAGCAGGAATGTGAATGGAAGTCTGAGCGTGGAAGTCTGTATCATCATGGTCAAGGATTTCTTCCAAGGAATCAATGGGTTGAGATTTATGTTTATAAAGAGTTTGTCAAAAGAAAAAAATGTACATATGAGTAAAGTAATATTCATTGTGATGAACAATAATACTCAAATTTTAAATTTTATATGAATGTCATTTACTATTATTGGAATTCAGAGACATTTTACAAGGTTATATCCAAAGCGATATTTCAGTTGATTATTCAGTGGAGAAAGAGAAAAAGAACCAAACACTGTTCTGTCTGCTTTGCCCAAATTTTCTTATTTAGTCTGCAGATGCCCCTCACCTGACATGTCCATTCAGAGGAGAATTTTGTCAGTAAAAAGTTCTCATTGTATTGAAGAAGAATGTTCAGGAATTGGTAGGCTTTATTATAATGGTCACACTGATTCCCTTACTATTCCCACACATGTCAAACAGATTTGCTTCCAAGAATTTTCAAATATTTTAAAATTGGATATAGATTTATTGTATACTTAAGATTATGGAATTAATGCTCATTTTTTGCAAAAAGAATCAGTTATTCAATTATATTACATGGGGGACTTATAAAAAAGAAAGTTAAATAGCCCCAGCACCACTATTAATACTTTGGGAAGTTTTTTTTTTTTTATACTATGCTGTTTGAATTTTATTTTGGAACATCTCATTCAGATCAAAGTGACAACAAAACTTGTAGTAATAAACAACAAAAATTCCATGAGGAGTGATTTGTTGAGCCAGATTTATTAGAATTCTACTAGAAGTCTTTTCTTAGGTAATGACATTCTTAGTTCTCCCTTAGCCAATTGTAGTGAGTTCCAAAATATTTAGATCCCAGCTAGTAGAATTGAAGTTTTGAACCCAAACTCATAATTTCTTTTTTTAAACTTTTTATTTTACACTGGAGTATAGTTGATTAACAATGTGTTAGTTTCAGGTTTACAGCAAAGTGATTCAGTTATATATATACATGTATCTATTCTTTTTCAAATTCTTTTTGGGGAGGTTTATTTTAGCAAAATTTTTTTCTCTCCAGCTGTGTGTGTGTGTGTGTGTGTGTGTGTGCACAGAACAGAAATTATTCTAATTGAACATTCAAAGGACACAGACTCCCCAACTCCTATTTAGAAAAAGTAATTCTACCATAGGTTTCTTATACCTCCATGAATATAGAAAGAAGAGGAAAGTGCCAATGAAGCCCTCTAGTTTGACAAACCTTCCAAGTATTTACATCTCCAGATTTATGCCTTTTAGGGTTATATAAATCAATTCAGAGTAATCATTATGGCACAATTTATCAAATAAGATAAGCTTCAGATTACACTTTTTTTAGATTTTTAAAGTTGCTTTCACAGGACATAGCAATACCCTCTCTAGTCCAAGTATCTTTTAATGCAAGTAACATTTTAGAAGACAGATTTATAATAGTAGAAAACAGAATAAGATGGTAATAATTATAAATATTCATGTAAATCTTTACATAGGACAGGAGAGTAAGATTGAACCTCTTATTAACGTTCTCCATTTAATACCTTATTAGGTTCTTTACTTTAGCTTTATGTTGAAGAATGGTGTCTCTTCTTTTGTAGCGGCAGGAAAAGAGTGGGCATGAGACTCAAATATTACTATAAAAAAAGAAAGTAGAAAATAATTTTATCTAATAACAATACTATCTAACTTTTATTTAGTAATTATATGTCATTAAGTGGTGTCTATGTAATATCCCAACCTTCATGATAACTTTAGGAGGTAGGTGCTATTCTTATCCCTGGTTTATCAATAAACTAACTGAAAAGTTGGTAGTTGTCAGACTAGGACTCACATTCTGGAAGTCTGACAACAGAGCCTGTATTTATGAATGACATTATAATCCCTCCCTTCATTTTACATACTTTTTTGTTTTGTTTTGTTTTTTGGCCGCGTTGTGCTGCTTGTGGAATCTTAGTTCCCTGACCAGGGATTGAACCTGGGCCCTCGGCAGTGAAAGCTCAGAGTCCCAACCACTGGACCGCCAGGGAATTCCCTATAATTCTTTAATTTGCCTGTATCAGTCAGTAATTCGTCATGAATGTCTTTCTCCAACATTAATAAGGCCTAGTTTGCCATCATAACTGACCCAAAGTTATGCAACCTGTTGCCTCCTGTAGCTATTTATTTTTCTAACAGTTGGTTACTCTAAGTTGTTATGTGATAAACATCTTGTGCATGTATCTTAGTGTGCTAAGAAAAACTGCCAAAAATGGAATTTTGGTCAAATAACAGACATAAGGGCTCACAGTATGCTGAATCTCATGATAGTAGTTAGAGGAATACAAGCACTGAAACATAGTTACTATCCCTTAAGTTTCTTGTTATACAGCAAATAATATAAAATCAGAGTAGACAGAATAAGCATGAGATAGGAGGTAATAAAGCCACTAGAGAAATTCAGGTCACATGCCTTGGGGATTCATGGAAGGATATATTATATCTCTAGCAACCTCTGTCAGGTTTTGACCAAATTATTCTGAGTTCAGAGGAACTCTACGGTAAAAAATGGAATTTAGGCTGTATGATTCATACCAGCTCTGTCCAGTAGAACTTTCTGTGGTGATGGATATCTTCTGTATTTACATTCTCCAAATGGTAGCTACTAGCCACATGAAGCTATCGAGCACATGAAATGTGGCTGGTGCAACTGAAGACACTGAACTTTTAATTTTATTTAATTTTACTTAATTTAAATTTTTGATTTGATTTAAATAGCCATATGTGGCTGTCATGTTGGATCTCACAACTTCATAACTTACAGTTTTTTTTGTAATGATGTTAGATTCAAAGTGAGACTAATGGAACAGCTACAGATAACGTCATCAGAAATTGGGAGACCCTTCTGCTAGAGTGCTAGAGTGCCTGGTCTGGCTTCATGCAGGAGGCCTCTGCTCTGTATCTACACTTGTGCAGCTGGTTCCCTGTGGTATAGGAAGGGTTTGGCTTCATCCAAGCTCCCTCTTATCTCTCCTGATTTGTATGTGGGGCACTGTGGGGTAGAAGTAGAAAGAAGGCAAAACAGGATCATGTTAACTTAAGTCATTTGGGGATTTCTTTGAGACATGCCTGGTCTCAAAGCTTCCTGTTCCTCCCCCAGTCCTGGCTTCTCTGGACTCTGTGCTTTTCGAGCGGAGGAAGCCCAAAGAGGAGAACAAGTTCTTGCAGTTCTACAACCATGGCCCATGTAAGTTCATGTTTATCCTCCTTGAGATGTCGTGGTTTTGAATTCCTGGGATCATTTTTATTATCCTGAGACTTCCTTCCTAAGACAACCTGATTGCTGAAGCTGCGCCCAGTTGCTCTGATCACAGTGAAGGATGGTGTCATACAGCCTAGTGGCCTCCTCCTTTGCCCCTCTTCTCTCTTTGCCCCTCTTCTTTCTCACCTGTGTTCACCTATTCATCACCTCTCCCAGTGCCCAGTCTCTCTCAGGAGCACTGATGGAGCAGTGATGGATGAAGTTGCTTGAGGGAGATATCTGAACTTCCCTTGTTAGAGTCATGATTCTATGACACAGACATGATGGTCCATTAGACTCCACAGACCTGAGTTTTACAGGTTGATAAGATGGAATTTAGTGTTGGGTGTTCTGCATGTGATGAGATCCCATACCCTGAGAAACTTATAGGGCAAGATTGGAGTGTGACTGAGGCCTGCACGTGGGGATATCAGGGATCTATCCAGGGGGTCCCCAGAGGGATGAATAACAGGACAAAAGTCAATTTTGTGGTTGAGGAGGATGTGCTGGTCTCTAGTGACATCAGTGTCATTGTGGATCATCCTACATCAGCATCCTCCAGCTCAGGATCAAGACAAGTGCTCCTGAGGGATGGTGGGAGCAGGTAGGAAGACCCTCCAGATCCCTTATGGGGAATGAAGAAAGGCTAATGGGACTGGGGAAGACCTTAGACATCTTGTCCAAAATAAATGCCTAAATATGACAGAAGGATTAGTCTGATATATTCACACGATGGACGATTAGCCAGCCGGTAAATAAATTAACTGAAGAGTTTGTCATTTGTTATAACAAGGAAAAATGCTTATGACATTTTCTTGCATAATGATGAACCTGAGTTTTAAGGAAATCAAATGTCAATCGCGTCCTATTTTCTAAGATAGAGATTTTAAAGTACTTTTGGGAAAAAACAATTCATTACTTCATTTTTTTTTAATTCCTTAAAAAAAAAATTCCTTGAAGGGAAAAGAGAATGGAACTCACATTTATTCAGAACTTAAACGGCAGGCACGTGATAGGCAGTGTGCTTATTTATAGGATTTCATTTCATTGGGAACCTTTGATTATTTTATTCATTCATTCATCCCATGGTATACAGGACATTCTGTTTGTACCTACTGTATTCTTTAAAAGCGTATAGGCACTCCACTTTAGAAATCACAGATTTTCTTATTCTTCCCTACATATCACGGGCTTGAACCTCAGTTTGCTGCTTGCTATATCATTGCCTCTTTCTTGCAAAGCAGTTTTCCATCTTGAAAATACATTTTAAACGTTGTTTATGATACATGGATCTGTCATTTCAGATGTCCTTGTCATTCAGGGACGTGGCCATAGACCTCTCCCAGGAGGAATGGGAGTGCCTGGACGCTGTTCAGAGGGCCTTGTACAGGGATGTGATGTTGGAGAACTACAGCAACTTGGTCTCATTGGGTAAGGATATCTGTGCAAATAACTGACAATCTGTTTTCTGGAATATCAGTTTTCTCCATTGTTGAATTTCAGAGCTCTGTTTTAAGACACCAGCTGAATGTCTGCCCCCTATTTTGAAAGAAATGGTTTGAGCATTATTGGGTTGGAAATAGGCACTTGGTTAAGCATCATCTTTTCCATCCTGCAGTGACCTTCTCTCTTCCCTCTGGCCCTTCCTATAATTGCCTGTTTTTCTAAATTAGTCCTAGATTTGAATCCCAAGACATTATCAGAGAAGCCAGGTGTCATATAATGGGTATGCTCAGAATTCCTGTAGCTGCTCTGTGTTCATGTCTGACTCACTTGAAAAGAGATTAGCTAGTCTCAGGGTTTTGTGTTTTTGTGATCAGATCAACCTCTACATTTTATATAGTGGTGAACTGGGTTAACAATATCCATTTAAAATTCAAGCAAACATATCCCATCAGAGAAAAGACATATTCTCTTCAACCTACTTTGTGCTTGAAAATTCTAGTCTGTGAATTTTGCATTTTCTATTGAAAGAATTCTGAGGAAGAACTTGGAAGTGTTTTAGGAAACAGTATTTTTCTTTTATGTAAAAAAATAACAAGAACAACAACAAAAATAATACTACATGTTAGGCATCCTTGCAAGCCCTTACATATATATTAATTCATTTAATTCTTACAAGAGCCCTATGAAGTAGGTAATATTAGGCCCATTGACATTGATAAAAGCATAATACACAGAAGGATTAACAGCTGGTGGGTGACAGAGGATCTGAACTCAGACCATAGGGCTCCAGAGTCTGTGTCCTCAACCCCTCTCTATACTGCCTTTAAAAGCAGAGCAAACCTTTTCCCTCCCCTATCTGGCCTCTTTAGTCCTGTGACCATGAGTCCATGTAAATGTCAGTATTCTTCAATGGCCTTTTTTCATTTTATCAAATACTATTTTGACCTACAATTTAATATAAATGTAACCAAGTCTAAATTAAGTCATTTAGAACTTAAGGTTTATTGTTTGTTTGTTCTAAATCATGTGGCATTTCTTTTCCGTGAGCAGGATGTTCCTCTCCTAAGCCAGACGTGATTACTTTGTTGGAGCAAGAGAAAGAGCCCTGGACGGTAATGAGAGAAGGAACAAGAAGCTGGTACACAGGTCAGTGATGACAAATCAAGCGGGGGGGATGCCGTCACAAGTTATAGCCCTTTGGGTCGGGGAGAGGCATGGCCCTAAGATGTTGTTTGGAAAGCTCCTTTCGAAGGCCCAAGGCCTGTGGGGAAAAGGCCTGAAATCTGGGAAAACATTCAAATCCTCTCAACATGAGCTCCCATATATAGGACTTGTTTCTATAGATTTTGATTCCGCTTGTCTGGGTCGGTGCCTGAAGAGCAGTATATGTAAGGAACTCCCCTACATCCATCCTAAGTAGGAGGACCACTGACTTAACTTGTTCCTCTAATCACTTATTTTACCCTCTTTTAGAGTCACATCATTAAGTCTTTTGCCTTCTTTCAAATTGCATTACAATTTAGAGTTCTCTAAATCAGGATCCAGCAAACTTAGGCCCAGGGGCCAAACAGTTCACCATCTGCTTTTGTGTGGCTCACAGGCTAAAACTGGTTTTTACATTTTTAGTGGTTGAAAAAAATCAGAAGAAGGATATTTTGTGAAACATAAAAACTTTTGAAATTCAAATTTCAGTATCCATAAATAAAGTGGTAATATAGTACACCTACACTTATTCAATTACATACTATCTATGGCTGCCTTTGAGCTATAAGAGCAGAGCTGAATAATTGCAACAAAGACCACATACCCTACAAAGCCTAAAATTTTTACTCTCTGGCTCTTTACAGAAAAAGTTTGCAGACCCCTGCTCTAAACCTTTTCATCTAATGTGTATTGTTTTTAGTTTGTCTTTTATTTCGCCTATGAGATGCAATCCCTTATTCTATCCCAACATAGAAAAATCACATCACAGCATTTGTTTCCTTCTTGGTTTTTTCTTGTTTTTTTTTTTGTTTTTTTTCCAGATTTGGAGTCTAAGTATGTCACCAAGAAGTTATTTCCGGAAAAGGATATTTGTGAAATATATCTGTTTCAGTTGCAGAGAGTGGACAAAAGTAAAACTTACATCTGTGAGGATACCATTTTCAGAAATGACTTGCAGTATAAACATGAATTTGAGAGACAAGAAGGACATCAAATGAGATGTGGTAGTCAAGTGATAATCCAAAAACATATACCTCTTCTTCTGCATCAGAAAATTCATGCTAGAGAGAAATCATACGAATGTAAGGAATGTAAGAAGGCTTTTAGACAACAGTCATACCTTATTCAACATCTGAGAATTCATACTGGTGAGAGACCCTATAAATGTAAGGAATGTGGGAAAGCCTTTTGTCGTGTAGGGGACCTTAGAGTACATCAGACAATTCATGGTGGGGAGAGACCCTATGAATGTAACAATTGTGGAAAGACCTTTAGGCTTCATTATCATCTTACTGAACATCAGAGAATACATTCTGGTGTGAAACCCTATGAGTGTAATGAATGTGGGAAGGCCTTTAGTCGTGTTCGAGACCTTAGAGTACATCAGACAATTCATGCTGGGGAGAGACCTTATGAATGTAAAGAATGTGGGAAGGCCTTTAGACTTCACTATCAGCTCACTGAACATCAAAGAATTCATACTGGTGAGAGGCCTTATGAATGTAAGATTTGTGGAAAGACCTTTAGGGTACAACGACATATTAGTCAACATCAGAAAATTCATACTGGTGTAAAACCCTATAAATGTAATGACTGTGGGAAGGCCTTCAGTCATGGCTCATACCTAGTTCAACATCAGAAAATTCACACTGGTGACAAACCCTATGTATGTAAAGAATGTGGTAAGTCCTTTAGTTTTCATGCAGAACTTACTCGACATCATAGAATTCATACTGGTGAGAAACCCTATGAATGTAAAGAATGTAGAAAAGCCTTTCGTCTCCAAACAGAACTTACTAGGCATTGTAGAATTCATACTGGAGAGAAACCCTATGAATGTAAAGAATGTGGGAAGGCCTTTATTTGCGGCTATCAACTTACTTTACATCTGAGGGTTCATACTGGTGAGATTCCCTATGAATGTAAGGAATGTGGGAAAACCTTCAGTAGTCGCTATCATCTTACTCAACATTACAGAATTCATACTGGTGAGAAACCCTATGGATGTAAAGAATGTGGGAAGGCCTTTCGTCTTCAAGCAGAACTTACCAAACATCACAGAATTCATACTTGTGAAAAGCCCTATGAATGTAAGGAATGTGGGAAGGCCTTTATTCGTAGCAATCAACTTATTTCACACCAGCGAATTCACACCAATGAGAACACCTATGAGTGCAAGGAATGTGGGAAGATTTTTAGTCGTCGCTACAATCTTACTCAACATTATAAAATTCATACTGGTGAAAAACCCTATGTATGTAAAGAATGTGGAAAGGCCTTTCGCTTTCAGACAGAACTTACTCAGCATCACAGAATTCATACTGGTGAAAAACCCTATAAATGTAAGGAATGTGGGAAAGCCTTTATTCGTAGCAATCATCTTACTCAACATCACAGAATTCATACTGGTGAGAAACCCTACAAATGTAAAGAATGTGGAAAGACCTTTAGTCGGCACTATCATCTTACGCAACATCACAGAATCCACACTGGTGAGAAACCCTACATATGTAATGAATGTGGGGATGCTTTTATTTGTAGTTATCAACTTACCTTACATCAAAGAATTCACACTGGTGAGATTCCGTATGAATGTAAGGAATGTGGAAAGACCTTTAGTCGCCGATATCATCTTACTCAACATTTTAGACTTCATACAGGTGAGAAGCCTTATGGGTGTAAAGAATGTGGGGATGCCTTTCGTCTTCAAGCAGAACTTACTCGACATCACACAATTCATACTGGCGAGAAACCCTATAAATGTAAAGAATGTGGGAAGGCCTTTAGTGTTAAGTCAGAACTTACACGACATCACAGAATTCATACTGGTGAGAAACCCTATAAATGTAAAGAATGTGGGAAAGCCTTTATTCGTAGTGATCAACTCACTTTACATCAGAGAAATCATATTAGTGAGGAACCCCCATTCATAATGTAAAGATACAGTGGCCTTTAGAAAATGCCTTTTATAACAACAGAATTCATAATTGATTTAAGAAAGTTTTTACTTGTTAGGGAACATATAGGAATCCCTTTTGCTTCGTGCTCAAAACTTAACAGCAGTAGTTTTATACTATATATATTGATTTAAAGAGTTGAAAAATTACAGCATCACCCAGCCTTGGTTAACTTTAGAGAATGATACTGCTGCAGTACATCTCAAACCAAGATAAAGGGTACCCCTTCCCCCCTCAAAATTGTTGTTGACCAATACTTTTACAAGATACAATGAAATTAGATTACCAGATACATGAAACTGAAAGAAAAACAAACATACAAAATGAAAACCCCCAATTTTTTATTATTGGACTTAACAGACATAAATTAGCTCTGTCATTTTTCTGTAAATGTCTCTAAATGTTTGCTCTCGGTGTCTGTACCTTAAATCATTGCAGACCAGAAGCAAACAACCTGTGGACCAGCATCAGTACATGGACCACACTTTATGTAGCATTGTAACAGAAAATAATTCTGTTAATGTAACAAATGTGGGAAAAGACTTCAGCCATAGCAAATCTTTAGTATAGTTCTCATAATTCCACCCCTGCCTGTGTGGTATTGGCAAGACACTACTCCCCTCTGTGCTTTATTTTATTCTATTTTACTTAATTTCTTTTGTGCCTCAGTTTTAAAGTGGTGATTATAGTACCTACCTAATAGTACTTTTGTAAGGATGAAATGTTAATAAAAAACAAAACCTTTAGAAGAGCACTGTTCAATAAATATTATTTTATTATTAGTGATATTAGTAAGTTCATGTGAGAGGAAGACCCTGTGAATATAAAGAATTTGTAAAAACTGTCCACTACCTTTCATTTTGTTTACTTAAATTAATAATTAATTATGGATAAAGTTTAGTAAAATAAACTTTCACTTCTAAAATTCAGAAGTCATTTCTGAAAACTAACGTGAGAAAGGAATCTCTAGAGTTGATGGATATGGAGATTATGAGAGAAAGCTTTTGAAGAATCAGGGAGATCTGTAAAGCCTTTTCTTTTATAATCCACAAAGCAGACGTGTTACAGTCTTCTTTTTCTGCCCCAAATTCATGATAAATGAGAAACTAACAATGAAAAGGCCACTGTCCATTTGGAAAAAAATAATAGTACAGGGAACACTTGTATGCCCTTTCTAGATTCAGTGATTGTTAAAACGTTGTCATATTTGGTTTGCTTCTGTATAATTTTTGACATTTTTTGCTGTGTTATTTATGTATAAATATAGACATTATAACATTTCACCTCTCTATATATATATCATGTAACTCCTAAGAATAAAGGCTGCCTCCTACTTAATCACTATATAACTTCACACCGAAGGAGAGTAACAGCAGTACCATATCTGTAATATTACAGATAGATAAGCAGTGCCTTAACCCAACATATCTAAAAGAATGTTTCTGGGAACAGTAGTATTTAATGGTACTTGAAAAATGTTCTGTGGTCAGAGATACTTATGAACTTCTAAATACTAAATCCCTTCCAAGAAAAAAATGTTAATTATCACGCTAGCAAAGGACTTAAGAGGCCTACAATAAAGAAAATTTGCTTAACTTAGTTTATCTTACTGTATCTTAAACTTTACTAAGGAAGTCCCATTCACAATACCTAATTTCTTTGGGATGTGAACCCACACTGACAAGGCTGCCATAACTGAAAAACAGTGACCCTAAAGATGGACACTCCAGATAACCATGGCAGATGCTTAGCTATGTTGAGAAAGGAAATGTGTGATGTATTTCTCTGCTGCTCACATCTCTTCCTCTGCAGTCAGTTGCTTGCCCTCTGAATGTAGGGCTGATACTTTCTACAAAATTAAAAACCCATTTGGTTTAGTTTTTTATATGAACATACCATGACATATTTAAACCTTCTCTTCTTTTTTAGTGTTTAACAATTTTTTACTATTTCAGATATACTTCAGTGAATATCCTTGTCTGTGACTGTTCGTTTCTGTGAGCTGGAATTTCTTTACACATGTGGAAGTAGAACTGCTCATACGTTATATATTCTTTCAGTTATGTTAGATATTGCTACATTGATCATAGGTCACATACACTTCCAATTCTATTAGATATTGCCAAATTGTTCTCTTAGACTCCTATCAAATTGAGTATTCCTACAGCCTTATGTTAGGTATAAGTTTTAATAAATATTTTCACAAATTTCAATTTCAGTTGCACATTTTTTCAAACGTGTTTCTTGGCCAATCATTATTCCTTTACTTTGAATTTCCAATTCTTGACTTTCTCCATTATTATTGTTCTGTTGTTTGTTTGTTTTCTAATTGACTGGAATGGCATTCTGGATAATTCATTTGCAATTATTTTCTCCTACCTTAAATATAGCATTAGTTATGTATCTACTGAACACTCATTCTATTTTTATGAGACAGATTTCTAGGTTATACATTGTGTAATAATAAGTTTTATTTATTTTCTAATATTTATGTCTATTACTTTACTTTTCTTTTTGAGATAGACTCTTCAGAACAAAATTGAATATTATGGTGATAGCCGTCATCAATTTCTCTGAATTTAATGGAAATTTCCCAACATTTAATCATTTATCATAATGTTCACTCTATTTGGAGATAAATTCTCTTTGTTGCCTCTAAATAATTTCCTTCAATATTTGTAGGGGACCAGAAGATATCTACTTTGTTTGGTAGTGATTGCTGAATTTTGTCCAAGGTCATTTTGTTATTTATTGGTATAATCTTATGTTTTCTCACCTTAAATTTATTGATGTATTGATTTGTTTTTATTAGTTCCTTGATATAAATTTATTGATGCACTGATTTGTTTTTATTTAAAATTGAATTTTAAACAATTCTGGTCATATACTGTGATTTTTGTCATACTGCTGAAGTACATTTGGTAATATCTTACTTAGAATTTTTCCATCTATAATCATATGTGAGGCAGTATTATAGTTTCCTTTTTCTTTGATAAGATTTTAGAATTCAAATTAACTGTTCTTTAAAAATTAGAAAAAACTTGTCTCTAAAATATGCTGAATTTTGTTTTCTATTTTTTGGCCATGCCAATTGGCATGCGGGATCTTAGTTCCCTGACCAGGGATCGAACCTGCACTCCCTGCAGTGGAATGCAGCATCTTAATCACTGGACTGCCAGGGAAGTCCCTGTTGAATTTTTATATATTGACTATGTATTTGATATCCTTGCTATAAATTCACTTAGTTCTAGAAGGGTTTATTTTTTTTTTTATAAATTAGAGTTTTCTATAAACACAATCAAGACACATATCAATATAAAGATAATTCCTTTTTCATTTTCATTTCCTTTTATGTCCTTTAATTGCCTTATTGCACAGGCAAGGACAGTGTTGAGGAAGCACTCAGAATGGACCTTGTTTCTGACCTTAGGGAAAAAGCATTCAGTATTTTATCATAAAGTGTTATGTTAGCTGTTCATTTCCATAGATATCCTTATCCGATCGTGAAAGATTTTTTCATTACTAACTTACTGAGAGCTTTATTGTGAACAGTGTTGAATTTTGTCAAATACATAAAAAGCACCTACTGACACGATCTTTTGGTTTCCCTCCATCTTTAATGTGGTGAATCGCTTTGATTAATTTTAGAATGTCATACCAGCCTTGTGTTCCTAGCTTATGCCCCATTTTGTCATGATGTATTACCCTTTATATATATATATTGCTGAATTCCATTTTCTGGTTGTTTTTTGGAGATTTCTGTGTGTATGATTATTATTGATATTGATCTGTAATTTTTTTTTCTTATGATCTCTTTTTCAGGTTTTATTCTCAGTTAAGTTGATGTCATAGAGTGAGATGGAAAGTGTTCTTTATATTCTGAAAGCAGTATTGTAAGATTCGTATTATTTCTTTCTTAAATTCTGGGTCAAACTGCCATTGAAACCATCTGAGCTTGGAGTTTTCTTTGTGGAAAAGATTTATAGTTTCAACGACAATATATGCCCCCAAATTGAATTTTTATATTATACCAAACTAGTGAAAATGAATTGTAAAAGAGAAAAGTTCCATTTTTAGAGAACATAAAATACATAGCAATAAGTTTAACAAAATGCATGCAGGACTACTGCTTAAAAATTATACAGTTTTGCTGAGAGAAGCTAGAGAACACCTAAATAAATGCAAAGATATGCCATAATCATGGGTGAGAAGACCCAAAAATGTATGAAAGGCAATTCTCCTCAAATTTACCTGTACGTTCAATGGAAGGTAATCAAAATCCCAACAGGCATTTTTGTAGAAGGTGCTACGTTGATTGTAAAACATATATGGAGGGCTTCCCTGGTGGCGCAGTGGTTGAGAGTCCGCCTGCCGATGCAGGGGACACGGGTTCGTGCCCAGGTCCGGGAAGATCCCACATGCTGCGGAGCGGCTGGGCCCGTGAGCCATGGCCGCTGAGCCTGCGCGTCCGGAGCCTGTGCTCCGCAACGGGAGAGGCCACAACAGTGAGAGGTCCGTGTACCGAAAAAAAAAAAAAAAAATTCATAGTAGTTCATAATCCATAGAGACAGAAAGCAGAGTGGTGGTTGCCAGGGGCTGGGAGGAAGGAGGATTGGGAAGGGATGCTTAATCGGTGCCAGGTTTCCATTTGGAGTGATGAGTAAGTTCTAGAACTAGATAGTGGTGATGCTTGCACCACATTATAAATGTACTTAATGCCACAAAGTTGTACACTTTACAGTGGTTAAGCTGGCAACTGGTAAAATTGTATGTAATGTGTATTTTACCACTTTTTTTTTTTTTTTTAATATGCTCACAAAGGACACAGAGAAAGGGTAAATGGTTGAAGAAAGGCAAGTGTAAGGCAATAAGGAGGGAAGGGGACGGGGGCAACCTGAAAAGGTCAGGCTGGTGATCACCACTCAGCTCAATCGATTGTCACCATGGGAGAATGCGGGTCAGATTTCAGAATTTCTCAAGTTAAGACAGAAATAGGGATTTCATGTGAAAACAACCCATCTGGATATGTGGCAAGTAAGTGAGGCTTTTAAAAACAGAATGTGGGCCTGCAGGTCCCCAGTTTACAACTTTGGCAGCAGTGACCTTTTGGGTTCAGCCAGCTCTAGGAATGTGGTATATAGGGACAGGGACCAGGCACAGGGAGGTGTCCTACACGGTGACACACTCTGCGAGGGATGCAAGTCAGCCCTCTGACTGGAAAAGGAAACCAGCCGTGCGTACACTGGAGTGCAGAGCCCCTATCTCTGAGGTTGGGATTAGGCATCGGCATACATTGGCTCCTCCCACTTCTGCAGTGGGCAGAATTTAGTTTCCCTCCCCGTTGATGGTGGGCATGGCCGCATGACTAGCTTTGGCCAAGGGAGGAATGTTAGCAGACACCTAGGCGCACAAAGGTTTAAACACTCTAGTGATGTTAAACACTCTAGCTCTTGAGGAAATTATGCCCCCTTCAGCCTGAGCTGCAGAGTAAACACATACAGAATAAACCTGAATCCAACCAACAGCTCGGGGCCAAGCCCAGCTAACATGGGGGCTGGTGCAGAGTCACCCACTGAAGCCCGCTCTAGATCAGACACACTGCAGCTGACCTCAGTCCAGTGATCAGGAAGCTAAGTGTTTGGCGAAGCCGCTGAAGTTTGTGGGTAGATTATTAAACAGGGTTGAGTCAATATCTGATACCACCGTCAGGAACCAAGTGGGTTTGGTAAATCCAAACCCCAATTCC